ATATATATACTTTTTTCACATTTACTATTTGGTCCAACTGAAAAGTGGCAAGCATCTCTCAAAAGCAACAACAACCGAAAAAGGTTCGAAGCAAAGTAGTTTACGGTGTGAGGTGGGGTGAAGTACCATAAGTATTTGTTGCCGGTTCAATGAAGCTGATTGCTGCCACTTACTTTTACTTTAGCAACATTTTCGATATTGCAACAAATACAACAACAATTTTTATAATTACAATATCAAGAAAAAAAAGCGTCACTTGCAGTGAGTGTGTTATTTGGCAGCGCTTGTAACAGCAGGTTTTACTTGTACTCAATCGTCACATTATCTGCATAGTCATCAGCAATAACATCATCGTCATCATCACTGTCATACAAATCAGCTCTACAGTAGCAACAGCGGCTGCAGCAGCAGTGGTCAAATTACCTCCTTTTGGCGTAGACGAATTCCTTTTACATGGCAGTTTGTACAAACTGCCTAAGCATGTGCGAAAGACTTCAAAGAAAAATTACGAGCAACATCTTTAATAATGTGCATGCTGCAGGCATTTCGCTGCCAAGCCTTGGTTAGTGAAATTTTTGCAAATTTCGAAACAAAAAATAAAGATATTTTCTAAAAAAAAAAATTTCCACAATTTTAATTTATTAAAATTTTCGGAAAAATCTTTATGATTCAGCTGAGCGTGCGGCGAGAATTCGCCCGCAAATGAAAGGCGAAAGCACGCAAGTCATCGACTTGACAAAAGAAAGTATTTAATGTTGGTATAAATCAAGTGTGGACAATCAGCAATAGCAACAACGAAATTAAATAGCAATGCAGCAAAGGCAGTTGCTGCACATCCGTGTTGTTCGTCAGTAAAAATCAACATATTTGCACTATAAATCACGCTAACCAAGTGAGCGGTGACGACTCTCGTAGAAGTTTGTTTAAGTGGTTAGTGAGTGCTGGCAATTGCGGCAATAAAAATGCGGTAGAAACTTTTTAAGCAAACATGCGTGCACTAAAACACTTATGTTTGAATACTGTTGTTGTTGTTCTTTTTTACTTTCAAAGTAAGCATGTATATTGATTTCAAGGCAGTATTTCAATTGATTTGTCTAAGAAGGCATTCAGTTGATATTGACTGCACTAAAGTAGGTTTGTTATTCCACATTGTTCTCTCAGGGGTACAGCGGTTAATTCTGAACAATATATTGCTAGTTTCCCGTTGATGTTAGCCGGTGGTGCTTTTACTTTTTTAATGTGTAAAAATTTTTCTTGCATTAAGAAATTTTAATGGCTTAATATTATTTGCCTTGCTCTCATAACTCTCTCAGACCACTGTGGATAATAGTAAAGAGTATTTCAAATATTTTTGAACAGTGTGCCAATAAATTTTTCAAAAGTATTCTAAAGATTTTTCGACAGTATGACAATAATTTTTTAATAGTATCTCAATAATTTTTCCGCAGTTTTTCATATGTATCCCAAACATTTCTATAATTTTTCAACACTGTTTCAAAAATTTTTCAACAGCATGTCAGCAACTTTTCAACAGTTTTTCAAATGTATCTCAAAATTTTCGCAACAGCATTTCAAAATTTGTATAACACTATTTCAAAAATGTTTCAACACTATTTGAAAAAATGTTCAGCAGTATCTCAAAAATTTTTCAATAGTATCAATAATTTTTCAACAGTATCCCCACAATTTTTTTAAGAGTATCTCAAGAATAATTTGAAAATATCTCAACTGTAACTTAACATTTTTTCAACAATATCTCAATAATTTTTCAGATACTAAAAATTGTCCAATATCATTTCAAAATGCTTTCAACATTATTTCAAAACATTTTCAACAGTATCTCAAGAATTTTTCGACAGTATTTCAATAATTTTTCAACCGTACCTCAAAAAAATTGTCCAAAAGCATTTAGAAAATTTTTCAATATTATTTCAAAAAATTTTCAACAGTATCTAAAGAATTATTTAAAAGTATCTCTACATATTTTAAACAGTATTTCAATCATTTGTCAACAGTATCTCAACAATTTTTTGACAGTATCCTAACAGGATCTCAACAGTTTTTCAATAGTATCTCAATAATTTTTCTTTCATTATGAAGAGAATTTTTGAATTTGCATTAGTATGAAATCATTACTGACAAAAACGAAACTATTCTCTTTAATTTGGGTATAAGACCGATCTTAGAATCTTTGAAATCTGATACCAATAAATTTACATACATATATGCATTCAATTTACATAAAACATTCGCAGTTCACATTGCATTACACATAAGGTCTATATAAAGCCAATTTTAATTACCTATATGCCATTCAAATGCAATAACAATAAAAATAGCAATTTTAATTGCCATACTTCATTACATCGACGATGATACTGAACTATGTATGAACTATGAGTGTTGCAAGCAGCTAAAGGGTATGATTTGCAGGGAATTTATGTGTCATAAAAAATATTTATACAAAATCATGACAAATTATAAATGAGAATGTTTGCAAGTAATTTTAGTTTGAAAAACTCCATTTTCATTGTTAAAACATAATGAAACTTCATGTTTACAAAAACGTGCATGCAAATTTTGGTATTAATGTGTGAAAAGCTAAATGCAAATTAGCTGTCAACAGCTGAGGGAGACGTTTTAAGAATAAAAAAATTAGAGGAAAAAAATAAATAAAAAAGGAGGCACAGCTTCTGCTTTGGCATGGAAGTGCACGTGTATATATGCGACTTGCTAAATGAAATATGCAAATATTTACGAGTGCATAGAATGATATTTGCTTTCATTATTTATTTTGGCAAAATTATGCACCAGCGCTTTGACGCATGCGCAAAATATGCGATTTCAATGCAAATGATGCGCATGCGCAAAGTGTGAATACAAATAGTATATAACAAAAATCTGCAAAGCAAATATATATTTTTTTTAAATGCAATGAACTTTTGCGCTTGATTTTCTCAGAAATCCAAACAAAACTAAATTCGTTTTTCTTTTTTCAACCGTCATATATTTCAGCTCGACATCTCACAGATTCTAACAGTTAATAGCAGCTAGAGCAAACTGTGCATGTACATTTCTGTATGCAGATCTTGTAGAGCAAAAAGTGGGGAAAACGTGCACTGCAAATGAATCGCATGCTTAAGTGGCTGACATACTTAAACTTTTGAGGCTTAGAAAATTGTGTGTAGTAATTCCTAAGCGGTATTGTAAGTGCTTGAGAGCGGTCTGAGTTGTAGGTGAAAACTGTAAAATTTTGTTGATAAGTATTATAGATTTCTAGTAAAATTAAATGCAATTTGAAGTTAATTTTAAAATTAATTATATATAATAGATATTTATTAGGTTAATTTTATAACTAATTATAAAAATAATTATTAAGTTAGTTTTAAAATGAATTAAGTATATGTATAATTACTAAATTCATTTTATAATTATTTGTATATTTTTTTTTTCAAAACTAATTGAACTCAGCTATTGCTTTTTAACAAAAATTGATTTCATATTACTTAAAATGAATAAATTTGCATAATAAATTATTTTTGTTTATATTATTTTTATTATTTTTATATACTTCATAGTGCCCTATTTTATCAAAAGTTTTGTATTTATTTACTTTTTATTTTCTGTTAATGCTGTTAATTGGATGCTAAATATTATTTTATGAAGTCATATCCATATTTATGTTAAAAAATTAAATTAAAAAAATGTTTATTATTATTTTCTTTATCAAAAAATTTTTCAGATTATTCCAAATAAAGATATTTCTTTTAAATTATTTACAATTTACAAAATTGTGTATTTTTAGTAAAATATAAAAAATAAAATAAAAATTATTTATTAAAAATTTTTATATTATCATTAACTTTTTTTTATTATTTTTTACCAAAAATTATTTAAAATTTTCAAAAATCATTAAATTTTGTAAAAAAAATTATTTCAAATTATTTTAAATCATTAAATTAAGTAACAATTTTGCATTAATTATTTGATTTTTGTTTTTACTTTTTTTCTATGTTTTTATTTTTTAATTGCGTTTAAATTATCTAGATTTTTTTGTGTAATATTGCTCATTTTTTGTAATAATTTAATTTCTAAATTTTTAAATTTAAGTTTTACGTCAAGAAGTTATTATTTTTTTAAGTTTTATTAAACCAAATATTCTTTTATTTCATGTTTTGGTTATCAGAAAAACAATAATTATTATAATGTTAATTAATATTATGTTAAGTGTAGTTTTTTTCAATTATTAGTTATTATTATATACATACATATGTATTATAAAGTCATATTTTTTATCTAAATCAATACCTTTTTTATATTTTAAATTATTAAAAAATATTAAATTGTTTCAAAATATTAAATTAGTTTTTAACAAAACTTCAAATGATTGTCTAGATATCTGTGAAATTCTATTAATTTTAATGTAACTTTACCGTTTATTTAAATACTTTAAATTCAATTTTTTATAGTTTTTAATTTTTATTGTCTTTTACAAAAAATTTTATTATATTATGTACTTTCTTATTTAATTTTGTTTCATATATAATTTTATAATTTTTTCCAATCTTTTTATTGTTCTTTTTTATTCTATTTTTAAATTTGATTTGCTTTTTGTTTATAATTTTTATCAGCTATTTTTTTTACTAACTATTTCATCAACTAATTTGGTAGGCTTTTTTTATAACTTCTTACTTGACTAATTTTATTTATTTTTATTATTGTTTTAATTTTTCATATTGTTTAATAATTTTTTATTTTGTTATATTTTTTTTTTATAATTTTACTTTTCCATTTCAATCTATTTCGTATTATTATTTCTTTCGTCATACATTACTCAACCCCCAAGTAAACTACAAGTATCGCTCTGATCATTGTTGATTTTTGCTTTGAATTGCTATTGAACACATCAATATTCACAAACACTAAGCCCACTAAACAAATGAAGTCCTTTTCACGACTCTGCCCACACACAATCACACTGAAATCGCAAGGATATTCACCTTTTTTGTTGTTTTTGTACACCGCTGCTTTATATTCGAATGCGTTTTTTGTTGTGTCTGTTTTTTTATTATTATTATTTTGCACAGTTCCTTTTTAGCTTTTGTGTATCAAAAGTGAAAAATATGCAGTTATATTTTTGTTTTTGATTTGAAAACACTGCGGTAGTTTCAGCTCAAACCATACGCAACGCAACACTTTTACCAACTGAACGCCCCAACGATTTTACCACAGTTTATAGCTGTCCCCAAAAAGCGCTTCGCTCACGCCAACATCACATTACCACCACACTACAACGCCATCGTCCACAGCCAGCACGAACATCAGCTGCGCCAACGTGATCATCACACACCACGCTTTATGCTGCGTCGCTGCCATTGCGCCGCTGTAAACGCCACCACAGCTGTGCCCAGCAGACAAATAGCCGCAGCTGGCTTGGAGTTGGCGCAGCAGCAGCGTCGTCAACTACACACTCTTCAAGCGCCGTGCGCATCACTTCGGCCGAACAGCTGACTTATGTTGCGATGCAATGCTGAGACTGCGACGTTATGCTGCGGTCACTGCTAACGTTGGCAGTGACTTATTGCTGTTAGTTTATCAAAAACCGCTAATGGCTGGATTTTTCATTGAAAATTTGGAAATAATTATTTTATTATTGCAATTATAATAAGGAAAGCAAGACAATTCGACAATTCAGTAAAGTCAGTGGGAATTAGTTACATCACCGTTGCATGGTCAAACAGACATTTGAATTTTGACCGGCCGGCATGCTGAATAATTGTGAACTCTCCCTAGGTAATGGGAAATATAATCACTTTGCTATAAAAACTGTCCGCCATTAATTGGCGTTTCGAAAACCAGGATCTTATGGTACAAAGTCGTAAAAACGAGCTGTACTGCCGAACGGTATGAATGTTGTACAAATATTCATCAGGTTGTTCGGTTTAACAAAAATGTATACATGTATTCAGAAGGCCCCAGCATAGCTGTTTGTTACCAGAAACCAGCATATCTAGCCAGTATGCAGACAAGCTTTAGACACAATAGGACTGTTCTTATAAATTTCCTTAAGATACTCGGCTGGTAGTCTTGGTGCTTTTTTAAAACAAGCTGGCTACAAAAAAAAGGTCAAAGTTTGGGTACCACATGAATTGTCTGTGAAAATTTAAAGAGCCAAATTAACATTTGCGATTCTTTGCGGAATCGAAATGAAATCGAACCATTTCTGAAGCGAATGGTAACCGGAGATGAAAAGTGGATTAAATACGACAATAATGTGCGAAAAAGATTATAGTCCAAGCGTGCTGAAGCTCAACAAATGGTCGCAAAGCCAAGATTGACGCCTCAAAAGATTAAGTTCAGTGTTTGGTGGGATTAGAGTAAGGAAAAGAATCATCCACTATTCGCTGCTCCAGCCTGGTCGAACGATTGATTCTACATTTTAATGTCAACAACAGATGAGATTGAAGCAAGCAATCGAAAAAAAAGGCCACAACGGATCAACATAAAGGGCTTCGTCTTCCATCAAGACAACCCCAGACCACACACCTTTGATAACTCGGCAAAAACTGGGAGAACTTAGCTGGAAAGCTTTGATGATCCACAACATCACCACTCAGTCACTGCAGAACTCCCTTTTGGAGTAAAGTTGGCTTTAAGAGAAGCCTGCGAAAATTGCGTGTCGCAGTTTTTCGCCGAGAAACCAGAAAAGTTTTACACTAATGGAATAATGTCTGTAGCGGAAAAATGGCAAAAAGTGGTCTACCAAAATTGTACAAATTTGATTCATTAAAATTCATTATAAATATAAAAAGAAAATAAGAGACTATAAGACTTTTTACTACCCTTAATTCGCAAGTTCGTTGCTTTAATCTTTTGTTGCATCATTCAAACTAGATGTATGGTATATATATTTTCAGTTATGTGAGCCATTATATTAACAGTGGTTTTTATACATTAATGCGCCCAGACATCATAATTTGACCTCATTATTGTAGCACTTTTATTGACTTAAGCTAAAGAGTTAAGCAATGAACCCAAAGTTTTGTGGCATTTACCGACCTTTGCCATGTATTTATATGTCTTTACTAACATTGAGAATTTAGTGTCTCTTTTTATTTTAAAACTTTTGTGTTTTTCCCCACTATTATGTTGCAAGCCTCATTTCCTGTTATACTGCACAAAAACGCACAAAAACGCGCACAAAATAGTGGTTTTAGATCAGGTGATAAAGGTCTTGGGTAATAAATGATTATTTTGAATCGAAGTTTTACTCTAAATGGGTCATAAGTTATTATTAAAATTATAAAAATTAGCAAATCTTGTTATAAAAATATGTAGCATCCTCAATATTGCTACCCAGACTCTGCTTCAATTGTTAAAATTTATCATATTTTTTTAAAATAGAGTGGTAGAAAAATACTGCAACAAATCGATTAATTAAAGAGTGATTTCACAATGAGTCAACTAATAGAACGTGATTGCAAAAATTCAGCTTCAAGAAAAAATTTAAAGCGAATGCACTACTGTAGCTTCAAACCTTAATAAAAAAGTATGCACAACTTATTCGTAGTTAAATAATCACTTCCATCAATTTGATATTAAGTATTAATTATTATTCGGATTTTCATAAAATTCCAGTTTAATTGGCTGAAAATCAGCATATTTAAAATTTTTACTAGAGTTTTAATCAATTTTTATTGCTAATAATTGAAAATTCCAACTCAAATTTATTATGGGCCCTTTCACTTGACTTTGAAATGTACATATATATTAAAGTATTACATACATATGTGTTGGTAATTAAAAACATCTTCGCAAAACTAGTGTTTAGAATTTTTCGTTCATACGCAAATAAATACATAAAATATTAAATCGAAGTCATTAAAAACATAATGTGATAAGTCGACTTTGTAATTTTGTTGCGTAATAAAAACAATCTTACAAAGCTTACTTGTTTGAACAGAAAAATATATAAATTCTGTATTACATGTATGTATAACTATATAATACTTTTATATATATTTCCAAAGCAATCATGTCTGATTTGTTAAAATGTAATCTGAAAGAAATATTATTTTGCTCGATAAAAGGATTAAAGCTTGCCAGAAACCAGCGGAGAGCTTTGGTAGCATCGAAACTATAATAGCGGATGTTTGAGCAAGCAATTAACTGCACCAATATTGTGGCACCTTTGTTTTTCTGTAGATATTCAGCTGAGTATGATGATTTGCTAAAATACCACAGTGATTGAAACTTTAACACTTTAACACCCGTCATAAATACAAAAAATTCCTTCCAAGAAATTGATTCCTATCGTTCAATTTGTATGGCAGGTGTATGCTATATTTAACCGATCTGAACAATTTCTTCGGATTTTGCATTATTGCTTCAGATATTAATCCGTAC